ACAACAAATAAAAAAGGATTTGGGTTCATGATTTATGGAAAAAAAGAAAAATTGAAGGCGAATTTGCAACTTTGTATGGAGAGTTGGTAGATCACGAAACAAAATTTTTTGAATATTTTCGAATGTCACAGTACTGTTTTAATTTATTATTAAGTAAAATTGAACATGATATAAAAAAACAAGATACTTTTTGGAGACCAGCAATAACACCAAAAGAACGATTAGCTGTCTGTCTGAGGTATGTATACTGTATAGATAAATATGAACCTACATACAACCAAACTGTATGCAATTACAATTTGACTTAACAATATTATAATTTAATTAATTAATTTGAGAATAATAAAATTAATCATACAATATATTTCTTAATTATATATCTAAAGTAGTGTATAACATTTTAAGCAATTTAAAATTTAAAAAAAAAAAACTTAATAACAATCAATTCAACAAACATCGTATTTAAAAGGTAGGTAATTTTATATTATGTGATATTATTGTATATTATTATCTTTATTTGAAAAATGTGCAAAATATTTAGCAGCTGACTCATTTTCTTCTGGATTTTTGTATAGTTTTGTCTTTGGATGTTTAAATTTATTATTTGACTGTGGTACACACACATTTGCATGTAAATTTGAGTATATTTCTTGCTGCGGTTGTATACTGGTTTGATTTGAAATATTTCGATCAAACTGTGGACGTGAAGATGACAAAGTTGGTATTAACATATCTTGGGTCCTTTGTAAATGTGTAAGATTTTGAGTAATACTCATATATGAACCAATATTTTTGTTGAGAAATGGAGATGGTGGTGGAGATGAATACAGAGTTGAAGTTGGTGTTAAAGTATCGTTTAGCACAGGTACATAAGTAGATTTTTGTGAATTATTTGACACAAATTGATGAACGAACTGTGGAGATGGTGTGGATGAATAATCAGATGTAGTTGGTGAGCTAATATCATGTGGTGTTTCTATAATATTTTTCGTATTACTAATTGAAGCAACGTGACTGACTTGTGGAGAAGGTGGTGAAGAAGAATAATTTGATACACTTGGTGATGGCATCTCTTTCTGTAATTGAGTACTAGGATACGTATTGTGGTTAAGATGTTGTGCAGAACTTGATGGAAAGTTTTGATTAAACTCTCGACTAAACTGTTGCTGAGGTGGTAGCAATTGTGTGGGATATGGTGTCATAAAAGTTGTTTTTTTCTTTTCTTGGTCTACAATCATTTGCATTTCATATTCTTGAACTATAGAAAAAATTTTTGATTTCACTATGTTTAAATAGTATGGCGTAAATGATTTGAGTGTGGGTGAAAGGCCTGCTAAAAAAGCATCAACAGAATGGGTTTGTGTAGTATTAGCTATATCATTTTCTCTTTTTTCCATTATATACTTCATTAAAGTACTCGAAGCCGATTCCGGAGTTTTGGTTGTACGTTTTTTTGTACATTTGCGAACTGCAGATTGATATTCTGGAGTTTTTGGTAATTGATCTTCACCATCTGTATTACCACTAATATTAATCTCAATATTTTGAACTGTGCTAACACTTTCCACATCGTCCTCACTGTTATTACTAGAATTCTCTAAATCATCGTTATTCACATCTTTTAAATTTCCTAAAGTATCCCGCCTCTCTTGTAAATGAGGCTTTAAAAACTGAAGCTGATCATCATATTTATATTTTTTAATTTTTTTAAATGCTTGACCACTTGTTGTTTTTTTAATAGATTTTCGATAGTTATCCCTAATGCTATTCCAGCGAGTTTTGCATATTTTTCCTAAAAAAAGAGATTAAATATCAATTTATATAAAAATTTAAAAAAATATATTTATTTTATAATTCACTGTTTAAAATTATTTTTTTTTTCATTAGATTTTAATTTGATAAATGTTGTCAAAAGTCGAAAAAAAATTGTAACTTTTTATTTTTAAAATGTTTTTAACTGTTATTGTAAAAACATATCAGAAGCCTTGTATTAAAGTTTTACGTTGAAGAAAATCGAAGTAGTTTTTACTGCCCCAAACGGACGATGACATACAAAAATAAAAAAATAAAAAAAACATTATTGTAAATTGAATACATTCATCGCTTCCTCAGAATCTAATATAAGTATAATATATTTATAATTATAAAAAATGTTTGTTTTTTTATTTAGGTTTTTAGCGACAGGAGATTCGTTTAAGACAATTTCCTTCAGTTACCGCCTAGGTCACGCAACAGTTTATAAAATAGTAATTGACACTTGTCAAAGTATAGTAAACAATTTGATGACTGAAGTTATGCCTCAACCAACTGAAGAACGATGGAAACAAATCTCCAATGATTTTTGGAACGTTTGGAATTTTCCTAACTGTTTAGGAGCGCTAGACGGCAAACATGTCACTATCCAAGCTCCAGCAAATTCTGGATCTAATTTTTTTAACTACAAAAAAACGTTTTCAGTTGTTTTGCTAGCATTAGTGGATGCAAATTACAATTTTATAGCAGTAGATGTGGGTGCTTACGGTAAAAACAGCGATGGTGGTATATTGGCACATTCTAATTGAGGAAAATCATTAGAAAATGGTTCATTAAATATTCCTAATGATGAAATTCTACCAAATACCAATATTTCTGCACCGTACGTTATACTAGGCGACGAAGCGTTTCCACTGAAAACGTACTTAATGAGACCGTATCCTGGGAAGCAACTTGACGACTTGTCCAAACGAATTTATAACTATCGTGTTTGTAGAACGCGGAGAGTAGTCGAAAATTGTTTTGGAATTCTAGTACAAAAATTTTGTATTTTTAACAGAAGGATACAGTCTAAACCAGAAAATATGGACTTGCGTTCTTCACAACTATATAAAAAAATACAGCAATTGTACCAATGAAGTTTTTCAAAATATAAATGAACCCGTTTCAAATATTACTCTAAATAATATACCTATGCAAGGCGGTGGAGCTGGACGGGCAGCGTTTGCAACACGAGAATTATATAAAGATTTTTTTAATTCTCCAGCAGGGTCTGTACCGTGGCAAAATGAAAAAATTTAACAACATAAAAACGCATCTATTATTAGGTACTTACTACTATTTAATTTTACTGTGTATTACGTCTTAATATAGGAACTTATTATATTAATTCAGCAAAAATAATAATTATAAGTTATTTTTTAACAGTTGTGTTTTTTAAAATTTAATAACTTAAAGTTTTTTATGTAAATGACATACTATTGTCATTAGCGACTAGCAGTTGTTCATTTCAAATGTGTACCTATATCAATTATTAAAATATAATCTTGAATATGCTATAATATGCTTGTATTAAATTTATCATTTTTACAATTTATTAATTTTTTAAATTAAATAATAATTTAACTATAAATTCTTAATAGTTGTTTAGTAAAAACATGTTATCTATACTAAAAAAATACATAATTAAGTACTAACAAATACCACTTACCTGTTAGATTTATTTCATTTCCAATAGAATTCCAAATTTTGTCTTTATGAGCAGTATCCATATATTTTGGGTGTAAAAGGTCGTATAATTCTATATGAGAACGAACCATTTCTATAATTTTTTCGTCGGCATTGGTACACATGATTTCAGATTTTGGTGTATAAGTTTTTGAAAAAAACAACTTTTTAATAACTTTTTAAACTTTTTTAAATTTTACAAATACGTCTTGCGAGTAAGTAAGAACAAACCGATCAAGCTGTCAATTGGCAGTTTGGCACTGACGGTTGTTTACACTGTTCCGTATTTTTCATATCCGTATCAGTGAAATTCCCCAAAACATTGTCTCCGACAAATCTAAAATTACGGACACGGAACGGATACTGAACGGACATGTGTAAACATGCCCATTTCATAACAAGTAAACAAATTTAAAACGCCGGACACGGAACGGACGGCACGGACACGGAACGGTTATGTGTAAATACATGATTCACACTAGTCAAACACGTACCGACAGACACCGTACCGTACCGTTCCGGAAAATATTTTAATATTTGTTTAAATACAGTGATTCACATTTAAACGTTTCCGTTCCGTTCATACACGTAGCGAACCGACAGAGTCCGTCCGGCATTCCGCGCGAGAATGTTTTGTCGGGACGGCACGTGTCTGATCCGGTCTGAACAGGTCTGTATGATAAGTGTGAATGAGCAACAGACATAATATTATAATATCCGTCTGCTGTCATTCACTGGAAAATTGTTCGCAGTCACATACTTTTGAAGTTCTTACATATTATATAAACTTCTCATTTTTTTCACTTTTTTTAAATTTTTCACACGTGATGAATTTAGAGTTATTAATTGAACTCGTTAGAGATCAAGAATGTCTCTATGCATTGTCACACAAAAAATATAGTGACCATGTGTACAAAGAATCCTGCTGGAAAAACATTTCTACTTCTATAGGCATACCTGGTAATATTAACTAAAATATATATTACATTAATTTCGCACATTTTCGTGATTTTTACGTATTTTGTCAAAATTCAAACTTGATATTCATATAAAAAATTGTGATTATGTATTAATATTTTTCAATTGGCATTGTAACAATTTATTAGGAGCCTAGTATTTTCAAGCTTTTTGACCTAACGAATTAATTTTAGGGGAACGAGGTGACCGAGTGGTCTGACGCGTCCGCTGCGACGCAGCCGATCGCGGTTCGATCCTCGGCCACCGGGCGGCATTTTTCTCTGGACAAGTCGCGGTGACCGGAGAACAAGTGCCGCCAAAAAATAAAAAAGGAAGATTTTAAGAAAGAGTCTAGGAAAGATGAAGTGTTAAGCCAAATTGTCAATTATTTAAGTACTGGTTGGCCAAACAAATGCAATCATGGTGGTGAATTGAAGCATTATTTCAAACTAAGAAATGAATTAATATTAGAAGATGACTTAATATATTTTGGAATGAGGTTAGTAGTACCTAAAATGTTAAGAAGTTATGTTATTAAAATGCTACATAGTACACATCTAGGCATGACAAAAACCTGGTTGATGGCTAAACAGTTATTTTATTGGCCCTGCATGAAAAAAGATATAGAAAGCTTTATAGAGTCATGTAATGTTTGTTTAAAATTTAGCTGTTCTAAGGTAAAAGAGCCGATGCTATGTCATGATATTCCTGAACTACCTTATACAAAAATTGGTATGGATATTGCACAGTTCCAAGGAAAAAATTATATAGTAGTTAATGATTACTTTTCTAGATGGCTAGAGGTGGAAGAAATCAGAGGTAAAACTACTAGTGATGTTGTTGAAAAACTTAAAAAAATATTTAGTAGGTTTGGTATACCCAAAAATATTGTTGCTGACAATAATCCGTTTAACAGTATAGAATTTATAAATTTTTGTAAACAGTGGGATATACAATTAATTACATCCAGTCCATACTTTCATCAAAGCAATGGCTTGGCTGAAAAATCGGTAGACATAGTTAAGGGCATGTTAAAAAAAATTGGTGAAGAAGGTGGTGATCTGAACATATACTTACTAAATTACAGAAACACACCTATAACAGGTCTAAATTATTCACCTGCTCAGCTGTTGCAAAGTAGAAGATTAAGGTCTTTAGTAAATAACTTTAATGAAGAATGTTTAAAACCAATAGTTGTTGATGCTAGGGAGGAAATAATTAAAAATAAAAATAAACAGATAATGAACTATAATAAAAATGCAGGAAAGGAAGAAAAAGAGTTTTATGTAGGTCAGAAAGTCTACATTCAAAATGCACTTAACAAAAAGTGGTTCCCAGGTATAATTGTTAACAAAACAAAGTACCCTAGATCTTATATAGTCAAAGATGTGAATGATAAAATACTGAGGCGCAATTCAAAGTTCATTAAAAAAGTTAAAGATTATGATTTAGTTAATGGTTTTGATGATGAGATTAATATGGGTGAGAAAAAAGATAACATTCTAGCTGAAAAAGAAAAAAATAATATTAATGTGCAAGAAAAAAGAGACAGTAATATTACAAGGTATGGTCGCAAAATTAAAAAAGTTGAGAGATATGGTTATAATAAGTTCTAAGAACAATGCATGATTTAGAATTTTGTAACATGTCAATATATTNCATGATTCACACTAGTCAAACACGTACCGACAGACACCGTACCGTACCGTTCCGGAAAATATTTTAATATTTGTTTAAATACAGTGATTCACATTTAAACGTTTCCGTTCCGTTCATACACGTAGCGAACCGACAGAGTCTGTCCGGCATTCCGCGCGAGAATGTTTTGTCGGGACGGCACGTGTCTGATCCGGTCTGAACAGGTCTGTATGATAAGTGTGAATGAGCAACAGACATAATATTATAATATCCGTCTGCTGTCATTCACTGGAAAATTGTTCGCAGTCACATACTTTTGAAGTTCTTACATATTATATAAACTTCTCATTTTTTTCACTTTTTTTAAATTTTTCACACGTGATGAATTTAGAGTTATTAATTGAACTCGTTAGAGATCAAGAATGTCTCTATGCATTGTCACACAAAAAATATAGTGACCATGTGTACAAAGAATCCTGCTGGAAAAACATTTCTACTTCTATAGGCATACCTGGTAATATTAACTAAAATATATATTACATTAATTTCGCACATTTTCGTGATTTTTACGTATTTTGTCAAAATTCAAACTTGATATTCATATAAAAAATTGTGATTATGTATTTTTAATATTTTTCAATTGGCATTGTAACAATTTATTAGGAGCCTAGTATTTTCAAGCTTTTTGACCTAACGAATTAATTTTAAAATACATTTTATCGAGTTGTAATTAAAATGACCGTTAACAACTCAAAACTAGTCAAAAAATGTTGAACATTTTATGATGTATAGGAAAATCTCAGAATAGATTAAATTAACTTAAATATTAACAAGAAATATAAAAAAACGTTGTACATATATGATATAGATAAATGATTTTATTAAGTTAATTTATTCGTATAGACACATTATTAATAATTAATAGTATTAAGTTTTTAATAAGTATTTAAAAGTACATAAACTTATCAAAATTGATTAGTTCCAATCGATTTGACCTGCAGGTGAATTAAAAAATTGTTTGAATTTTTCTCTCACTTCAAAGGCTACTTGTGGTGCGCTTCCTCCTTGATTTGGAATATTTGTAATATGTCTAGGTAGTTGTTCGGACATTGATGATACAAATTGATTTTCATTACCACTTTTTATGAAGTTATGTAAAATGCACGTAGTGAAAATTATTTTATCCGCATTTTCCGGTAATGATTTTAAGCGTCTTTGGTATACACGAAATTTTTGTGATAGCTGACCAAATGCATCCTCTACAACCTTTCTCGCACGTGATAGTCGCTCGTTGAATATTTTTTTAGTTTCATCACTGTGAATTTGTATGCCGGGGTATGGTCTTAAAATATAACTTTTTAAAGGAAATGCCTCATCTCCTATCATTACGTATGGTAAAATCTCACTTGTTTCTGGTTGAGTTCGACCATTGGGTATATTAAATTTATTTTTTTCAAAAGCTTTACCCATTTTTGAACTGGAAAAAATTCCGCCATCACTACTTTTCCCATAAGCCCCAATATCTACAGCAATAAATTTATACTTCGCATCAACCAAAGCCATTAAAACGATTGAAAATGTTTTCTTGTAATTAAAATAAAGTGAACCACTATTTGGTGGAGCTTCAATGACAACATGTTTGCCGTCTAATGCACCAATGCAATTGGGAAAATTCCATACTTCCCAAAACTCATTAGATATGGTTTTCCAATCATCTTCATTTGGTATTGGCATACATTCTTCTTTCAAGTTAGAAATAATAGCATTACAAACTTCTAAAACAATTGTTTGAACAGTTGAATGTCCTAAACGGTAACTAAAAGAGATGGTTTGAAAAGAATCTCCGGTTTCCAGAAATCTATAAAAGAAAACAATTACTTTAAAACTAAAATTAATAAAATCTAAAAAATTGCTTTTTATTGTAAACAAATGTGAAATGGCATCCTTCTACTCCTACATACCAAAATTATATTATTGCTAAAAAGTTTTCAGAATTTTTGTAGGTATGCAATTTTATAACTTTGAAACTAAACATTCGAAATTAGTTAATAAAACAATAAAATAGTAACATTTTAAATATTGTGTAATTCATATTTATATAGTAAATGATTGCAAGAAAACATGGAACAATTTGAGGGACGCATTTAGAAGGGCAATGAAAAAATCACAAACGACATCTGGCCAATCAGCAAAACACATAAAAAAGTGGAAATATGAAGAAGAAATGTCCTTTTTACGGCCTCATATGAGAGAAAGGGATACTATAAGTTCCTTAAATACCCTTAGTGACGTAGAAAATGAAACAAATGACGAAAGCGGAATAGTTGAGGTGGAAGAAGCTGATAATGACTTAGATATAACTTCACCTATAACATATTTAACTAATACTGAATCTCCGACCACTTTATCTTCTAAAAATAAAGTACACAGTGAAAAATTATCTTTAGGACAAAAAGAATTAAATAAGACAAATATGCGTAAACGGAAACAGCCTACAGAATCAGCTTCTGCGACATTAATGGAGTATATTATAAAAACAAAAGAAAAAAATAAGGAAACTGAAACTGAAAAAGATGGTTTAGATCTTTTTTTTTTAAGTATGGCTTCAACAGTAAAAAAATTTACGCCATATAATCAAAGTTTAGCAAAAGCCAAAATATTTTCTATTGTCTCTGATTTGGAATTTAATGAACTTAAATCTAGCCAAGAACAACAATTTCAATCCGGAAATACACCATCGTCAGCATTCATACCACCCACAATCAACCCAAGTTCCACAACCATACCTACATCCACTACATGAAATATCTAACCCTATTATTCAAAATATACAATATGATTCAACAGCTTCATCATCATCATGTGGTAGTTATTTACATGCATTTTCTCCCGATGATAATCAAAACTAAATTTAATACAGTTAATTCTATTTAAATTTTAAGTAAGTTTGTTAGTTTTTTTTCATCCTAAAGGATATCTTCAAGAATTTATTTTTATTTTATTTTCACTATATATAGTGTTTGTTAAATTTAAAAATAAAATAAGGTGGTACCTACGTAAAAAGTTATTTTTGGATTTTTAATTGAAGTTTATTATGTTATTTTTTTTTTTTCGTTTCTTTTGATAGTATAGTATAGTATAGTTATTTTTATACTTTTTTGGAGATTGCCATAAATTGTTGTAATATTTTTTAAATTTATTAATAAATTTAACAATTTAGAATTCATTATATCTTAAAGTATCCGTAATTAATTTGTTAAAAAATTCATACTTTCTTACCTTAAACATACAGCTAGTTTTTCTCTTGGTGATATGGCTTTACGAAAACTTGTATTTTTTTTTCTATTTGTAGTTTTAACTTTTGATAGGAGTACATTAAATTGAATTTTTGTCATACGGAAGTATTTAAAAAATTTTTCTTCGTGGTCAGTTAATTGTTTTTACAAAGTTATGTATTCACCTTCGATGTGCCGTTTTAACAAAATATCATGAACCCATGTTCTTCGTTGCACATTCCTTTCTTCTTCTTCGTCTAGTGCAATAGCAATCATTGCCAAATCGCAGGTAGTAAAATTTTTAAACATATTTCAAACTTAAAATATAAAAAAAGGAGAAAAGAGGGAAACTTGTATTGTCACTTTACGTTGTTGTAACGAAAATGTAGGTATGGGAGCAGTAATAAGTATAGTTTATTTGAACTGTACGGTACGGTGTCTGTCGGTGCGTGTCTGAATAGTATGAATTGACCATGTCTGTATCGGAACGGTACGGTACGGTGTCTGTCGGTACGTGTCTGACTAGTGTGAATCATGCTTTATGCGGTATGTAAGAAGAACCTCCTTGCCTACGTTACCACAGTCGTTACCAGAGTTAGGTTCACGGTTTGACAACGGTGAACTAAATCGATTCTCATGCTGTAATAGCCCTATATTTCGTGGTTGTGTTCGTGATATTGAAGGTAAAAATATAAATATTTAATTATATAGGCTTAATAGGTAGGTAATAAATTTATATTTGGTCCTCCACTCGAGTTAATTTGGTATATCACAAAATCACTATTTTAATCCGTTTTAATTAATAGGGAAAAATAATGTAATATTGGCTTGTCCACAACTAGTTCGTGAAGTTCTCGAGAAAAACATTCGGGAAATCCATGTTGACGCCACATTTAAAATTGTTCCCTCAAACATGGGAAAACAAATGCTTAGTGTCCATTGCATGGTAGATAATTATGTGTTACTTTTATTTAATTAACATTTAATGCAATTGAATTGGTATTTAGTATTTATACTATATAAAAAATATACTTAATACAATTTGTTTTGTAGTCTACTCCAATAGCATATTATGTATTGATTGAGGCCAAAACGAGAATTTCATACCAGTGTGTTTTTGATTTTTTGAAATCAAACTTATTTCCTAACCTTTCTCCGGAGATAATCATTACCGATTATGAGACTGCCCTCAGAGATTCTTTATCATCATGTTTTAGAGGCAGAGAAACAAGAGCTGTGGGTTGCTGGTTTCACTACAACCAAGTAAATATTTACATAACAATAATTTCTTAAGGCAGAACAAATAAATTATAATTTAATAACTACATATTTATATAGATAGTATATAATGTATAAATGTATAATATTATATAGTTAAAATTCTTATTTATCAATATAGGTATTTAATCCAACCAAATAAACTTGTTATAAATATGAAGGCTGTTTCAATGAATTGCATGATGCAAAATTTATCATTAGAAATTATGAAAAATAGAGTGAATTGTTTCATTTGAAAGTTTTTTTAAAAATTTTATCGCACTGTAATACATATTATTATACACATTACAAAGCTAATTTTATTTTTTTGTATAAGTGTTTGAGTGTTTTTTTATAAAAATATTTTGATTCAAATAGGAGTCTATACTTTAAAATTGTCTTAGGTGGTGCTTAGTGCATTACATTTTTAAATAATCATAAAAAAT